AAGAGGCACTGGAAGATAAGTTTTACATATGAAATACAGAGGTTTATGACTCAGCTCAAGGAAACCTTAAAAAAATGCTGATAAAGTTACACTGGCTGTTCAACTGTACGATTTGAACTGTTAGATAATTACATGTATTTTTGACCAAAAATGGACCTGTAGCAGGCTCAGTTTGTTAAATGCTCAATATCTCACACTCACATCATTCAAATCCTGTAGCAAGTCGGTCCACGAGTCTACTTCAGAAAAATTCTTCTCTTCCGGAGGGATGAAGTACGAGATATTGGGAACTCCCATCAGAAGTTTCATGTCTCCTACACGAAGACCAATGCCTTGATACGCAAAACCGAGTTTACTGTCGGGGAAAGAGGGACTGTCTATATTGTGAAGGATCTCTGTACGTGGAGAGGCCTCGCCATTTGAAATGGTTTTCCAAACGTCATAACCGTCGAGGGGCTGATCTTCGTGATTAAGATGACCACCTAAATAAGGAAAAGTCACTTCACATACTTCACGTTGAGTAATTCACGTTAGGCAATTCACATACAATACTTCGCGTACTTAAATAAAACGCACACTGTCAGTTACTCTCTTTTCAGCGGTTCTTTTCGATGTCACACAAAGTTCCCTCAAGTTCCCCTACGTGACATCCTAAAGAACGGCTGTGAATCAGACTGGCTTGTAGTTCAAAGAAAAACTACCATTTAAAAGCACAACGCGCGAAATATTTCGTTCAAGGGGCAGATAAAACTTCTACAGTTGTATTGCACAGAGTAAGCTGTTCCAATAAGCACACCCACGCACGCTCTGCACTTGTCCTTACCAGCAAGATTAACCAATGTGGGGTACCAGTCGGTCACATGAATAAGCCCAGTAGATTTCACCCCAGTCCTAGACAGCATTTTTCCGTAAACGAACCCCACCCCTCTGATTCCTCCTTCCCATAGAGTGTCCTTACGTCCTCTCAGGGGGTAGTCATATCCACCATTTTTTGGCACCCCTCCATTGTCAGTACTGAAGATCATTAAGGTGTTATCCCATAACCTTCAAAGAGCAGGAAATTAAGTAAATTCAAAACCTTGTATACCAACAAAATGTGAATTAACTTTATAATTATCATTTGTCATTCTTCATTCTTCTTTCATCATTCCGTGACATCTGCTTCATTAGCTTTTTTATTAACAAGAAACCCATAATTTATCATTTATCCCCCCAAAAATAATACTTGAGTGAATGAAGATGTAAATAAATATTCATCTTCTTGTCACCTGAGGTAGGTTCCAGTACTAAAATCATATTTATTTAACTTCCCTCCAATATAAGGTGGATAGTCTGCCTGTCTGCCATTTGTATACTCCTAAAGGTATCCCCTGTAGTTACCACATCCCTAAAACATCTTGTAACATCAAGCAAAGACAAATCAAAGGTTTGCCTTGAAAATTTTAAGCAAGTTTTGCTTGTTTTTCTTTCAAGAACAAGTTTAACCTATCCCTGAACCATTGTAAACACATCCACTACAACTTACCTCACCCTTTCCAGTACCTTAACATGTAACATCCCATAAACTCTGGGCTTGAAAGTGATACCCCTCTGGAAGATACTTGCCATCATTCAAATGTTCCCTCCTTTGAGGGCCTTGCTTGTCAAGGGAATTATGGCTGGAAATGCTTTCTATTTACAGAACAAGGAAATATACACATACCCTGCCTCTTTAAAAGCACCTGTTATATTACCAACTGCTTCATCCATGATATCCACCATCCCAGCATAAGTCCGTCTTGTTGTGTCGTTTATAAAGGAGTACTTATCTACATATTGTTTAGGTGCTTGGACTGGAGAGTGGACATTTTGGAATGCCATGTAAAGGAAAAGGGGACCATTTGATGCATCATGTGATTTGACAATATGCTCAGCTCGCTGAAAAAGTGTCGATCAATAACAAAGGCAATTAATAATGATGAAGATAAAAAGAATGCTGATCTTTCTTTCTCGAGTGTAGCACTTATCTTAAATCGATCAACTCATGGTGTGAAGAGAAAATCAGAAATTACACATGAATAAACAATCAAACCAAACATTTCAAAAATAAATAGAAATGCAGTGATTACTGCAAGTTTACTGATGCAACATAACAAACACATACCCATCCAAATTTGACAAAATAATTGCATGGATTTTGTTGAGCAGACTTGAAAATTTTTCATCTAACTTATGAATGTTTAGGCATCTTTGACTGCAAACATTTTGGCATTCTTTTTAAACACACATGATTCACCTTTGTAAAAGCATTAATAGAGTATGTCTCATTCATATCCCTAACAATTTCTTTGTTGTCTCTGAAATCAAGAAAATGACTAAGGACATGCGTGTAATGATCCTCTGCACCATTGTAAAAGCCATAAAAGGTATCAAAGCCTCTGTAGGTAGGAGTACTGTCCCAGTTGTAGAAACCAAGATGCCACTTGCCTATCATGTGGGTGCTATATCCTAAAAATAAAACAAGAACAACAAGAAGAGCAACCCTTTAGTGTTTAATGGGAAATTTGCTTAACAAAATATGCCAACAGGTAGAAGAGCAGGGAGACAGGGAGGGAGGGAGGGAAGGGCTTTAAACATCATCAATTTAAATTTTGGAGGCAGAGCACTTCTATGTTCTGGGACATAAATTTTCTCTGTTGAGGTAAAAAATTGGTTAACCTTTCTACAAATTATTTCAAAGGGATGATGCTAAGCAAAATGATGTGGTTTAGAAGTTTTTTTCTTCAACAAGTGCCTTGATTAGCTTGGCTAGTGTGTCATACACCCCCCTCACCTTCCAAACAACTCTACAACCTATTAAATATGTTGACAAAGTCATCAATAAGCTGGATAAAATGAATTATTGACCACTTAACAATTATATATATCAAACACAACCCAGTTTTGAATTTGAAATTGATTAGGTCACTTATAGTTAAATTTGAACAGAATTGTTAACATAACACTCTCAAGAGAAGGTTGGATTCATAAATACAGAACAAATTCTTACCAACTTCCTTTAGCTTTTGTGGCAGTGTAGTGATATTTAACGGCAGACCAAATGGACACCCAGTATGAACAATTCCATGCTGCATTCCTGAAAAGAAATAAATTGTTCTACCTCTACATTGCAATATTAATTCTCTTAACTACATCTGCACTGATTCTATGAATCATAGTAAGGAGAAATTACATGACGACATATCAACTCTCAATTTTACATACTTCCCTGTGCAAGAAAGAATATCTAGAGTTTCTAATATACATTTCCATCTAAATCTTCATTTATAAACTGCAAAGGACTTAACTAATCTATGTAAATACCAAAAGAAAATTTAATATTTATGATAGCGCATGATTATTGTCACATTTCAATGGAAAGACCCTTTTTTAACTTTCGGTTTGTCTATCACATCATTCACTTTATGCAAGGATTTCTATACATGTACTTATGTTTGTTTCAAGTTGGAAAGCTGAAATCAGCATTTGTTGAGCAGAAACAAAGTTAAGCAGGTGGTGAATTTATTGCAGACCAGCCCTTGGGTGCAAGTGGCGTGGTGGTCGTCACATGATGTTTTCGAAAAATAGTAATGGGAAATTGAAGGAAATATCGCCCTCCCAGCTTTAGATTAGGAACAATAGTGTTAAAACTAGCCAAAAATCCACAGCAAACTGAAATCACACCAACCAAGGTGAATCGGGTATCTTCCAGACATCAATGCTCCTCTGGTTGGAGAGCAAATTGGTTGGACGTAGTAACTATCCAGAATTACTCCTTCTTTAGCTAACTTGTCAACATTTGGGGTTTGAATTTTCGAACCATGGAAGCCTACATCACTCCATCCAAGATCATCCACCAAAACAAATAAAATGTTAGGTCTAGATGCAGCGGAGGTGACGAATATGTGGAGAATCGTCGAAGCAAGGAAAATAAAAAAGCTCACGGCAGACATTATTGTCGCTGAAGAATACCAAAATTGGTTGAGTTGTCACGCTATGTCACGCTATCTCCTTTTAGTCTTCAAATGACATTATTTAATCTAAGCTTCGCAGATAGCTGTGTTACAACTGTCTTTGTCTCTCCTACAGCATCATGGCTCACAAAAGTTCTAATTATTATGGATCAAAGTCTCTTAATACCCAATGGAAGGATCTGAGTCGCTCGGTAAGTTATCTTTTGAACGAGCACGAGGAACCAACGCCGAGGGCGGAAAGTCTTGGGCACATTTGGTGAACAGTTTAGAACGTATTCACTGTGCTGATGGAAGCTGTCGGGAGAAATTTAAGTTAACGGAAAGAAAGTATCACTGTAGAAGGTATGTAAAAAGCTGGCTAACACTTCTAGCGGACTTATGTTCCAACGCGTCGTTATCCTAATATCAGTAATATGGAGTCCAATTCAATAGATTTATCTTGCTTTCTTTATCATCTGAGGAAGAGATTGGAAGGAAAATAGTTGAAAGAGGTAAAATTAATCCCAATTATCAATTCTTCATCGAGTTGTTGCAGTAATCTCTCCTTGTAAACGTTCAGCCATATAATAGTAAGTAATTAACCAAATATCATTATCAGCCCTCTACTGTGGGTCCACACTTTTCAGATTCTTGTAGGGGAGTGATAGTAATAGCAGTGGCAATAGTAATTTTTTTCCTCCGGGAGGGGGAGGGGGCACTCAAGTCACTTAGGCTGGGTGACAGATGTAAAAACATATTAATGTGTAAGGAATGTCACATTTCCATTTCCATAACATCAAACTGGATTATCCATAAAATGTTGCAACCATTTGAAACTCTGTTGGTAACAGGAAGTATCTCTGAATTTAAGATTTGTTCCAAGACTTGTTTTTGGTTGAATTCA